ATAAAGAATATTGTTTTAGTAGTCCTTGATTCATCATAGACTTTCATTCCATTTTGTTACAGTATGACAGGTGGAATCTTGACGTCGTTGATACGTAATAAGATTCTCGCCTAGGGTAATCTTTTTGAGCAGTGCTCTGAACTTTGCTTCTGTCTGTAGGCGTCGATTCTTTTGGTACAGTACTGTATAATCGGAGTTGTTGACTCTACTTGATGTCAAGATTTTACTGGTCTCTGCTCCGATCTATGTACTACGTCGGTTTTTCCGATTAACGTGATCTTTTTTTCTCTTTTATCTCTACCGATTACCGAACCGTAGACACGTAGTCGATCAGTAGTAGACGTTAAATTATTACTACATTAGAAGAAGAAAGAAGACGCAAAGCTACATCGAGGAGATTTATGATTTATTTTGCGTTTCATTACTTTTCTGTACTTTATCATCCACTGCACGCAGCACGAAGTGGCAATTCAGTCTAATCAGTCGTAAATCATAAATTACAGTGATGCAGCAATGAAACGCCGCTGTTTCGTTCCTAATTAATTGATTAATATAAGGTAGCATCCATGTAATTGATTAAGCAAATACGCAAATGATTCGTTGTCTAACACATGCTTACGTAATCCACACAACAGTGAAATGTAGCTAAATGGTAGTGTACATTATTCTATACATTTTACGTCCTAACTGCTGCAACTCTGGTCAATAAATTGTCGATAAGTATAGTCTGGTAAAACAAAGTAAACATAAGTAATAAATGCATTATGGAAAATAATATAGAACTGGAGACTTTGTGTACTGAACCGTTATGATTAATTCTTTTCTTATTATGACATTATGATGATAATGATTTATTTGTTTTGAGGTCTGTCTGCTACAGTACTATGTACTATGGTAGTGTACAGTACTTGGTATCCTACGACTACGCAATCTTTGACGTAGAACTAAAACTGCAACAGCTTTGCCGAGCCTGTAGACGGCTGTACCAGTTATTGATTGGCGTTGATTATAGAGTGAGAGATGAATTAGTAGCAGCTTTACTTCCAAACCCATAATAATGCATAATTTTCGCACTGGCTGCTCGTCCATACCTATACAACCTTTAGAATTTTCATTTTTAGCTGTTCTATCAAGCAAAACACTGGTAGATGTACGCTCTACTGTACACTGTAGTTTACAATTATAACTTGAATAATGTGAAGGTTTATTTACAGCTATTTTGTAGTCCAATGTAGCTTATTAGTAATCTACCTAGTGATCTGCAGTCGTATTACAGTAGTTTATTAGGATTCAAGTCTATAATGGCCTGCTACACTAGCTAGAAATCGGATTAGGCAGACTGAAATCGAAAGTCGTACTTGTGATGTGGATACTAAATAACTTTCAATACTTGAATCTAAGGAAAGTTATCAGTAATATTCTGCGAGTAAGCGTCACGAATCATATACTGTAGTACTCACGTCGTCATCTAACTTGAACTTGTGAATATAACTTACTTTATATCTTGAAAAGTTGCCTATTGACGCTTGTGCGTTGGGTTATGCCGCATTGCTGTATCATTAGATAAAGCTTGCTGTAGTAATAATAGCCTTCGATTCGCAATAAAATTGAAAATTTTACACTGCAGTAGATCTTGTTGACAATTGGAACAAAATACAACCCGTGAAACTACGACCTTATGTTGACTTCAACCCGATCTTAAAAGAATCTAGACTGCAGTAGATCTTTTTTGACAATTTGTACAAGCACATCCCTATAAAATAACGATCTCATGCTAATTTGAATTTGATGTCTTATCTTTCTCAATAATGTACAGTATAAAACTATTGCTGTTATTACTACTGTAATGTGTAATACAGATTTAAAGCTCGCGCAATACATAGCATCGTTGTAATATTTTGGAAAGTCATTATAGCCTTCATCTTTAATTACCGAAAAGCGTTCGATGATAGAATGCGATTTCTTTAACGTTGCATTAAACTACAGTACTATATAAACTCATGGGTCTGCAGTCTCGGTGTGAGTAGTAAACGTTTGATACACGCTGAAACCCTATTACTACCTACTTAACTTAGAGATATCTTCAACGTAACAACCTTAAATGCTGATGCTCTTTGTGCTACTCTTTCTTTTACAGTATATGCCGAACTAGCTGTGCCGTTACCTTACCTTGAAATCAGTGATCGCTATCCTGAGGATGCCGTAACAGTGCCTGGAAAACATTTACGCTTACGTTGTCCTAATGGGCTGATCGAAAATGTTAATACGAGTATTCAATGGTTTCGTAATGACATAAAATTATCCACGACAGATATTCACCATACATTATTACCCAATGGAACGCTATCAGTGATGTTCACTAAGCCTGGTCTGATTGAATATCGATGTAGCCTTACATATCGTGGTATTAACCTCTTGGAGCCGATGGTAATTTTAAGTCGAGTTGCTCGTGTCCGTATTGTCGGTAAGCGAAATTTGGTGCGATTCTTTATTACCATTGCATGTTGATAATTCAGCTATCTTGACTACGTTCAATGCATTCTTTAGGGTTGTATGTTGCTCTGTCGGTTATAAGTTATTCTATACTTTAGCTTTCAGCAATAGCCGATGGGGAGTTATTCATTATTTTAATAATTCAGCTATTGCATGATTTACTTTAAAATAAGATAAAATATGATATCTTAGAAGCGTTGCATTTCACACAATAATAAATTTTGACTTACTTAGATTACAATCATGTATGTGTCATATGCATTACTCGATAACGTACTTATAGATCATGCCGGCCCCGTCTTCACTCAGCAACCTAGAAATGTTACAGTCGGTATAGAAGGTTCTATTGCATATATTGGTTGTAATCCTTCTTCACATGGACGATTACTAGAATTTTGGTTGGAAAAAGAAATAGAAGATAGATTTGTTTATTATTTTAACAATCGGACTGCTACCTTGCCACATGGCATTCAAATTTATCCGTTACATCTGTCAGATTATGGAAGGTATAGATGTGGAGCCATCGATAAACTTGGCCGTTCCTACTCATTACCTACCGACTTGGTAGTCACAAGTAAAATTGGTTAGCATAAAACAATCAACTGCTTCATATATGATGACATGATACAAGAGTATCATTGGAAATGTCACTGTACTATAAATGCATAATACATGTTACTTATCGATAATCATGATTAGTCTTTCATTTTGGAGGATATTACAATAACAAACCGCATTAATTCGTATTTTGGCAGGTTATCAAGCCTTAGAATTTGTATCGAAGCCTTCCGCTGTCAATGCAAGTATCAACGCTACCGTTATCATAGAATGTAGTGTAATAGGTAATCCGACACCGAAAATTCAATGGAAGAAAGATCATGCTACTATTCATATACGGGAGTCTTCTAAGTATACGATTGTTCATGGAAACAACTTACGTATTAGCCACGTTACTCTTAGCGATCGTGGAAATTATTACTGTATAGCGTCGCAACCATACAAAAATACAACCCAATCACTAGCTCACTTTGCACGTCTTAATGTTCATGGTAAGAAAATTTGAAATACTCTACTAATGCTGCCTTTTAGCTCATGTCGTTGTTTAGTAAGACAGCCTGTCAATGTTTATGTTTTAGTTCGGCCGGAAATAAACACGTCTATACCTAAATTAATAAATGGAAAGGCAAACCATTCTTACAACCTGACCTGTAGGATTTTGGCCGGAAATCCAAGGCCTGTTGTAAAATGGTTTAGAAATGGAGAGCTAATCAATACGACGAAAGACCATTCTATGCAAATTAGCGGAATGAATAAATCCACCACAACGGTTAGATATCTTTTAGTATATGGTATAAATTGTCTAACTGTCAAATGACCGATCTTTATTGTTATTCTAATGAAGCCTTAACACCTCTTTAAATTCTTATATCGTAAAGGTTCGATTTGACCAGCTGTATTTCCCTGCGATCTATCAATGCTTCGTGGATAATGGCTATGGTGTTTCCCAGACATCGTTTCAGTTTACTCCTTCTAGTAAGCATGGAGCAAACTTTGATGATAACTAATCTGCAATGACTTTTAAATTTTATTTTTCTTTAATAGATATTACATGTCAGAGGCCCAACTGGTTTTCACCGAATCTTAGAGCTTCACGCAGGTTTTATTATGTAGGCGATCACGCAAACCTCAGTTGTCCAGATCAGCTTACTTCATCGGCATACAATACTACTGTTTGTAAATCATCCGGAGTTTGGTCGAAATCACAAAATTTTTGTTTGGGTAGGAAAATGATAATCTCTCAAGGTATTGCGTACAAGTTGTAATCTGCATTAATCAATCGTGTAACGATTGTTATAGGAAACTGTTCAAAACCGGATTTAAAATACGCTACCATTTACGGGACTTTTAATAATGGCGATTCCGTTTTTATCAAGTGTTTTACTGGATACTATTTGAGCGGCGGTAATAAACTTACGTGTATTAATGGAAAATGGGTTCACTCTGGTAACATTGCTTGTCAATCGGAGGGTATGTAAATGCGGCTGTAAAATTTACAATAGTTTAAGCAGTCGGTACTGTCAATGTGCCAAGTTATGCAGTATTATATAGTATCTCTAGCTATCTAATGTTCAGGATAATTTTAGAAACCATGTCGTTCAAGAAATCGCCTGCAAATATTGTCATCGCTCGAAAATTATCTAAAAAATTATTTTGCCAACCAAACTCGGATGCACATTCAATTCTGTGGTATAAAGACGGTCATAACTTGGATAGTAGTTGTGATTTTAGAATAGAAAATGATGGGCTGCTTTTAAAGCAAGTAAAAAAATCTTGTAGTGGATTTTATCAATGTAGAATAATTTCCAACCATACCGAGCTGTCGATTTTGAGCAACATAGCGTCCGTGAATGTTGCATGTAAGTTTTGCATTTTATGTAGGCTGGTTAAGAAACTAAGCTGCAGTTCATTTTAAGATATTATGGGTTTAATAGTAATTTACATGCGATATGATTGCTATAGATATCGATTCATCTCTTAAACGAAGACCTAAGAATATTAGTAAAGCGGCGTTGGGCTCTAATGTTAAATTTAGCTGTACTGCACGTTCCTATCCGAAAGCAACGTATGTATGGTATAAGGATGGCTCCGCAGTGAGTCAAACTGTTAGAAGGATCATAACTGAAACTGGAGAGCTTGTAATATCGGAACTACGAGCTAGTGATGTTGGCCAATATCACTGCATAGCCCAAAACTACCTGGGATATGCTAAGTCAACTTTCGCCAAATTACATATTGATGAATGTAAATAGAGTGATCTTTGATATCATAGAAATAATAGCATAGTAATTAACATTTACTTACCTTTTATAGCATTGAAATTATCAGACGTAAAGTTCGCTTGGCTTGTAAAGCCATCTTCGCAGATGATAAACAGAGGAGATAGCATTAACATCACCTGCTTATCTACTCACGGAAATGCGAGTGTCGTCTGGATGAAAGATGATGAATTCCTAAAAAGTGATACCCAAAGATTCTTTATTGGAAAGACGTCATTACGCATCATTAACGCTAAGGAAGCTGATAATGGTACATATGAATGTATCATATTGCATGGCCATCAGTCCCTGCAGGGCCAAGTTTCCATCATTGTTAAATGTAAGAAATTTGCAAAATTTAATTAATTTATTGTAAGCTCGATAGTGACATAAATTATATTTGTAGCTCCTTTGAAATTCGAAAACACGAAGAACGTTAACGTTAACGTACGAAAGAAATCAGGAGATAATTTCACACTAACTTGTGCCGCAGTAGGCATTCCTAAACCTGTTATTACTTGGTATAAGAATGGCAATGTCCTTCGAAGCAATATAAGATATTCGATAAAGGCGGAAAAAGCTACACTTACCTTGATTAAACTTAGGATTACTGATACTGGCATATATCAATGCTTTGTTAGCAATGAAATTGAAGTTATCAAAAAAACTATTTCTTTATTTGTATTACCGGTCAATGGTATGCAATTAATATTCGTTCTACTAAAATAGTTCCATTATTTCTTCCTAAACATTCTTGTTGACTGTTAAGAGCTTGTGTGATATTTGTCCGAATTACTTTATTCTAGAAACCTCGACGGTAAAAAGTCTATCGGATTGGGAATCTCTTACAAATTTTACGAGCGTGCTTCATAAACAACCAGGCAAGCCGTATAATTTCGTAGTTGAAGCATCTACAACATCTATAACGTTGACTTGGACGAGACCGTCAGATGAGCGAACTGTTTCATATTATATTATCCAGTGTTACTCAGGCGGACTGCTAGTAAGATCGATAAACTACAGCATTAATATAGATGCTGTCAAGCTATCGAAGAAAATTAATGATTTGATTCTACCTAATAACTACAAATTTGTATTGTCTGCGTGCAATTTATTCGGTTGTGGGCCTTTTTCAGAAACTACCTTAGCTAGCTTACCTCGTAAGTTAACAATAACATGCCCATTATTCATACAACTACTGTAGATTGCTATTAAAATTATTGTTGTTATTTTGTGGAAGGGAAACCAGGAATTATTAAAAATCTCAGGATCACCCTTCTGACACACACAGACGTCTCTTTTCAATGGGATCCAGTATCAGAATCGGATAAAATTATATCATTTATCGTTAAGATTGTATGGTATAGGTCGAATGGAAATTTAGGAAATGTTTACGAAACTATCCTAATTCCTAAAGATTATGGCGATAACGTAGCAAATATGTACTTAAGATCGAAACTTCCTAATGATGCGACTGTCAGTGTTCAGATGGCTGCTGTGAATGCATATGGCAATGGATCGTTTTCTACCGTATCGCGCGCAGGTTCTAAACAGTTAATTAAGTGTAAAAATTATGACTTCCACAACTTAAACAAATTATTGGAATTAAATTCTGATTTCTATAGTTATGCAGAACCTGCCTGGCGTCACGAACATTACCTTAGCAGTTGTAAATTTGGTAAGAAAGTTAATTAGATGTTATGTGTTTGTAAATATATTAAAAACTCAACACTTACTAGAATATGTCAAAAGTAATTATTTATTTGGACTTTTCGTATCAATATATTTACTGTAATTCTTGAATAATTGTTGCAGTCTATTGTCATTACTTGGATACCGTTGTCGGATATATCGCTAATAAAGAGTTATAACGTACGTTGGAAACTTTTCAAGGCGAAAAGGAAAAACTCCGTGAAGGTCAACTCTTCGTTGCAATCTTTCACTCTAACTAACCTTACAGCACTCGATTATAAATATCAAATCCAAATTGAGGTTCGTTTTCGTGACGGCCAGAAGACCAGGAGTAAATGGAAAGAAATTTTTCTGCCTTCGACCGGCACAGGTTCATGACTAATCCTCCATATTTTCTATGATTTCGTAATTGCTAAATTTGGATATTTTTATGGTATAGGCGGAATACCTGGAAGCGTGCAACGGTTTAATTGCAAATACCTGCAGGGAAATAATGTTACTTGTAGTTGGTTGCCACCATTGTCGTACGAAGTAACTATATCCGGCTACGTTTTAGGGTGGGAGTCCACTAAAACGTACAGAAGAAAGGAAGTGCATTTAAACAGTTCGATATCACAGTTTATTATCACACAACTAGGTAATAATATTATTGGACATCATTCATTTTATGCTGTCATCAAAGTATTCTTAAATAACCTCTAAAATAATCTTTACTTTTTTACTTGTAGAGGTAGATCAAAACTACAATTTTGATATATGTGCAAAAAGTTCTTCCCGCAACGGACCACCGGCTTATTTCCAATTGTATACGAATCGTACGTTTAGAATGCATCAGATATGATAATAAATATTTGGAACGTATAATAATATTGATTTTGCGCTAAAGTATTTTGTTATCCTGATACACATATATTACAGCTGTAGGAAACGGCGTATTTTCAGCGCCTACTCATGTCTCCGTTAAATCTGCAAGCTCTGCAGAAGAATATCCTAATAATAAATCTGTTGTTGCAACTTGGAGGCATGAATTTGGTAGTTTGGATCATAAGAAAGAAAATGAAACCTACGTTGTATACCTTCGTTATTTCAACGGCAGCAAGTCAGATTTACGACGATATAATACTTTTGAAACGAGATTAACAATACCCAATTTATTACCATTCTATACGTATCAGCTATCTGTACGTTTCTTTGCGCGCGGTATATCTAGTGCATTTAGCCCATGGGCTGAATTTCAAACAAATTATGGAGGTATAATTTTCGAAGCTATAATTTTTCTGCTATATAGATATATTTTTGAAATGACTTAATACTTATTTTAGTTCCTACTACATCACCGGATGATGTAACGATCATTGATGATAGCCCAACGTCAGTTAGAGTCTGTTGGCAACCGCCCAGTTTTTCCGGAGGAGTTATTACCGAATATCTTATATTGTATTCAACCGATAAATTAATGATGAATTTCGTTAAATTGCCGGTATATAATGGCAATTTATGTGCTCACGTCACGAAATTGTCGGAGTCAACGGAATACTTTTTCCGGGTTAGTGCATCCACTGGAAGAGGTGCCGGGCCATTTACCGAAAACATTCGAAAAGTCACACGTAAAGGTTTATATTTGATTATTTTAATCTAGAATCAATATTGTACTTTAAGAGCCAGGCAGTTTATGGGATTATATCAATATAGATTTAAATCGGCGCTTGTATTAACGATTCTTTATTTAATTCCTCAAAGCTACTGTATATTCCCCGTCTGTAACAGAGCGTAAGTTCTTAACGCATTATTTAAATTTTCAAAATTTCGTTGAGCTTTCTTTTCTCTACCAAGATTCACTTGTTGTACAGTATAATATTGCTATTATCATTAACTAGCCTATCAAGCGACGGGAAGTTCTAAAACTGTCAGCGAGTCAGTTCTGTTCTACATCATTGGAGGTGTTATTTCTGGGATTTGCCTTATCTTAATGATACTTTCCTTGCTCTTCTATAAGTACTCTTCAAAGCGGTCCAGAGTTGTTACGAAGTATGTCAAGTAGCACTTAGCAATAAAGGATTTTTACTGACTATTTTTGATATTTAAATGTTAAACTCGTGGGTGACAAATAGTTGTGAATGCCAATTCTATATTACTCTTTATGTAGTACAGTGGTTGATACTTGATGTTATTGTCAATTCTGTACTTGCGTAGGAGAAACTCTTTCGAATCAAAGATTACTGCCGATGCGAATACAGACATTCGTGGCAACGAAATTAGCAATCGTATGCAGAATGTCGTCTACCGGGATAGTCGTCGACGTTTGCACATTGACAGCAGTCAAAATAAGGTAGTCATTAGTAATCAATCGAATTTTAATACGGAACAAGATATATTACATTTTGAAAGGAGATTCCGATCGCTCGCCGATAATGTTCGCGTCGTTGATAATGTTACGGAAGGTACGGAAATTATGTGCATATTCTTTATTACGTATATAGTTTCATCTGTGTTTTGAACGACCGTATAATCTAATATGCTAGTAAAGATAAAAAGCGTAATCATGTGTGCATAGAATAAGGAGAATTGTACAACATGAATCGGAGCTTAGATTTAGCTAATCAGTATTCAATAAATAAGAAAATATAAGAGGATAAATTGCACTCTGTCTTTTCCGTAATAATTGATAAATATCTTACATAGTATACTACATGCACACAACTTGACTTAACTTGGCTGATGGATGTACAACATGTTTGAGCTACACGCTTGCTTTTTCGATGAAAACAGAAACTATCATTTTTGCAATATTGCGATATTGTTTTACTTTGTGAACGCACTGTAAATCGAGAATAGGACTTAACTGAGCTTAACTACTCTCTGTAAATTTACGTTTATGTTCTGTCCATACATTGCAATATTCCTGCCATGCGGATCAATTGATCGCTGGTACAACATAAGTCATCCTAAATTTATTTTCTTCTAATATTAAATCGCAGATAATTGCCGACAAGGCAATGTAGATTGTTCACACATATGGCTTCCCCAACGCGAAGGAGTGCGTGATGGTAGTTTATTTATCAGACCTATCAGAGCAAAGCTGATTCGTAGCCGTAGCTTACCAGATTGGCTCAACTCTAGCGGAATTTTAATTCCTGTTCAGTTTAAAGAAGCGACTCATGAAGCTTCTCCTACTGACGATTTCGTGCTGGAAGAATCGTACTGCGAAGAAGAAACGGTATCTAGAAAATAATTTAATTGCCTTGAACGATATGCTTAGTACTATCATACCGTACTTTATTTCTGAAGTTGCTCAACAAGATGTAGTTTTTTATAAAAATTCAACCAAGGAAGTGAGGTACTGAGGTAATAGAAAACATGTATAAAAGTACTGAGTTGCTCTGGCTAATTATTCTCAATTCGCAAGTGGTTGCCTGTGAAATAGAATACCTATACTATAGAGATTGCTGGAACTTAGCGCTTTACAATCCTTTTAATGATCGACTACTAAACTTACTTAAGAATTAACTATAAATTCGAACCTTTATAATTTCTTGTTTGATGAGCATTTAAATAAGTCCTATTGAGTGGCGTGCTACCTTAAACTAATAACATGTATTGATACAGTTTTATATACCTCACCGTACAGACTGGTTAAGAATTGCGAGGATTTTTAACAATTCATCTGTCATGTATTTAAATGAACTCAGAAGCGTTTAGGCTATGAGACGAAATCGTTAATTTTTTGTAATTGGAAGCTTAAAACATTACAAGCTTGCACGGCTAAAAACAATATGTATCTCTATTATACCTAATTCACAATTTGCGATCCTAAGCAGTTTAGATTTAATAGAACTTTAACTGGATGTAACAACAGTTTTGACATGTATACAGTCAGTTGTGTTTATCACTACCTGAAAGTAGTTACAAGAAATGTAGATAATAGATATTTAATTCATTCTTTCTCAGGAAGTATATCACAGAGAAAATAATTTATTATTTACCTTGAGTTATATATCTACATAAATGTGTATTAACCGTGAAACCCTGTATGTTCGATCTCTTAATGGCATGTGTTTTAAATGTTATCATTTTTTCGTTCGTCTTTATCTCTTTATAGACATTACATGCGCACCAAGCTCATCTTAGCCCTAATAATTTTAATTCTCATTACTAAAGTTTGTGTAAATATTCTAATACTGTATTTTTAGGAGAGCATTGGGTCTACCTTTAAGAGTGAAGATTTAGACGACAGCGAAAGTATCAGCATTCAGCTGAATATTAATGCATCCTCTGGAAAGGTGTCAGATATCAGTTATTGCAGTGAATGTGAAAATGAAGAGAATCAAGAAACGTTTGTTTAACTTCTGGATGGTGATTGTGCCTTCCTTGTCAGTACAAACTTAATTGTAAAATTTATTTGGAAACTTCATCTTTACTAAAAAATCTTTTGTGTTCAGTCCATTGTCTCATGCCTCTTTTAAGCGGTTCTTCATAATCTCATTTTATTATATAGTGTAATTAAAGAAACTTTGCTATATATCAGGGCATAGCATTTATAGAGCAGCACCCGAGAGTAGTATGCACCTTCACAGCGATGCTGTATAGATCATTATGTTCTGTATTTTGAAATATAGTCTCTGTGATTTTAGAAAATCAGCCCAAAACATGGGAGATTGATCCTCGATGTATTTTTAAATTTTTTATAAATTGATCTGGTTTATATACAGTTTTTTCCACATTACCACGAAGATGCTCTCGTTAAAAATATTTTAAACTGATTTCAAACGTAGATTTGTATCATAGTTTCAACGGTTGTATCCTTTGTCTCATGTTATAGTTCGCACGCACACTCGACCTTATACCATAGCTAGCAAAGTATCCATTGATAATTAATTAACAATAATCTTAAGCTCTAACCGCAGCCTATGTTGATCTCTTATGAAAATGCTACAAAAGTTATGGTATAGGGATTTTAGTACATCTATTCTGGCAGCAATCGTTTTAATTATTTTGATTCACCGCATTGGATAATTACGACCATAATTGTTATATAAACTGTAATGGAAGAGTATAAGACACTTCGTGTACACAGTATATTTTTAAATGTGCACTATACCATACTAAAATATTAATTTATTTAACTTAAAAAAGAAACTATACAGTATACATGCTCTTTAGCTTTTCGTAGCTTTAGTACTTGTTACCGTATTTAAATTATGAGTGATATTCCAGTATAAAGTCCACAGATAGCAGTATACACACTGTTTTAATTACGGAGTCAGTGCCTTAAATACCGTGGAAAAGTAACACTTAACTAATTATTATAATATATTATTATCTCATTTACTGTATATTCTCTGTATGGTCAACGCTATGTTAAATTTTTATACCTCAAATTATATTTGTTTATATTTATACGCAATTACTTGTTTTCATCAAACTATGATATATATATATATATATGATTTTAGTAGTATAACGGAACCACGTTGTTACAAAACTCATTTTTACGATTACTTCAATTTTAATCTATGTTAATGTTTCGGTAATAAAGACTGATTTTTGAAGGTGAAAAGATAATATAAATTTACTAAGGCTATCATTCTATGTGATGATGAGCTTTTGCTGCTGATATCGTATTTCGTATTGATTGCCGTACTTCAATAAACACTTATATACTCGTAACAGGTGCTACTCGAAAGAAGAGAAAGGGGAATAGGACACCATCGTTGGCTATAGTAGCGACGTGGAGGTCGACTTTTTGCTGGTTATTTCAAGTCAACTGACCATCGGTAATCGTACGCTATACAGTACTGTACACGATCGCACTCCAAATTAGCTGACAAGTTGGTTTTACACAGCACGGTGTACCGTTACGGTCATAGCGTACTGTAAAATGACTTCAAAAAACGTTGGCCTTCATAAATTTTTTGCTTTCGACCGTGTCCAGTTCCTCTCTTCTTTGGAGTAGTCCCTGCTCGTAACTCGATTACTCAATCACTAAAAGTACGATCAATTCTATTATTCCTATAGTATGTGAAATAAATACTATTCGTATATTGTAAATGTTAACAAGTAAAGACTTCGTTCGAATGCACGTGTAAATCTCCCTCTTTATTTCTCAACTCAACATCTTATATACCGCATATTTTCTCTCGTATTCCCAGTACGTACATTTCATCACGTATCGACGTTATCAGTTATACACTAATGCGTACAGCACTGTACAGACTTATCACAATTATACTCTTAAACATTCACGCAACGTTACTATATGGCAAACCAGTCGCGCTTATAATATTACGCTACTAACTACAACAGTGTAGTGAATATGTATAAAAAAACCATAACAGTAAATGTTGAGGATTTCCATTGGTAACAAACAATAGCAGTAGCTCTAGATTGTAGTGTCTAGTCGAGATACTGTCGACCTGAAGAAACTGTTTTATATACGGATTTCAACTTCTCTATACGCGTACACTACAACATAACGAATACTTCCTTAGTAGTTATTTTCTAATTTACAGTATCATCTATAGTACCATATTATTGCATGAAATGGCTGATTGGGATCTATCATAAATGATCTATTAGCTCATTTTGAAAAGACACCATATTAACTGATTTATCGAATAACTAGTAGCACCAATAAATTAT